CCTAATTTGTCTTACTCATTAGTTGATAGGTATAAAGTGACAGCCACCATCATTTCCGGGCTGCTACTTTGTCTTTTAGATCTCACTGTTCAAGGAGAAAAGTGCAGAAGGTAACATTTGTAAGCTTCTGAAATAGATTGTCCTCTAGTCACCTTTTATTTCATGGATCTAGGTGCAGAGACGATTAAGTAACTTCAGTACTTCTGACCTTGTACAACAGCTGAAGAAAAAGGCCTACCGAGCAAAGAGGATTCCTTCATATTTATGAATTAAAAGAGCACTATAGGGTCAGGAACACAAACATGTATTCCTGACCCTATAGTGTTAAAACCACTATCTAGCCCCCTTGGCCCCCTTTGCATCCCTAACGATAGTAACATCTTACTTGTATGCATATTTGAAGCTGCTGCCTCTGCCTGTGAATGTCCTCTGACCTCTGACATCATCAGAAGTGGTGGCCTGATCCAATCACAGTGCTTCTCCATAGGATTGGTTGAGACTGACAAGGAGGCAAATCAGGGGCAGAGCCAGCACAATTCAAACACAGCCCTGGCCAATCAGCATCTCCTCATAAAGATGTATTGAATCAATGCATCTCTATGAGGAAAATTCAGTGTCTGCATGCAGAGGGAGGAGACACTGAATGTTTGGATGCATTTTAGGCAGCCATGACCCAGGAAGGATCTCTAACAGCTATCTGAGGAGTGGCCAGTGAAGTTATCACTAGGCTGTAATGTAAACACTGCATTTTCTCTGAAAAGACCATGTTTACAGCAAAAAGCCTGAAGGTAATGATTCTACTCACCAGAACAAATTCAATAAGCTGTAGTTGTTCTGGTGACTATACTGTCACTTTAACATTCTGTTCTCACATATCCAGCATGTTCCTTTGCATCATATTATAATCAATATCTCCACCAGCATCTACTTCATTAAAGGGACACTCTAAGGGGGGAGGGGCCTGGCAGCCAAGATGGTCAGACATGCTTCAGCTTGGCTCCTGCAGCATTGGGCCGAAATTAGTCATATTATGGCCGATACCGACCTGCAATCAGCCCTCACTGAGCATCAACCCATACCAGAACCGAACGGGAGCCCAAGCAATTTGGCTACACGCTGTACAGCAGCAACATCTTGCCGTCTGGTCATGGGGCCTGTGGGGGGTGACGGCCTGGTGGTCGGGAGAGGAGGCCAATATTCCGATGACAGATGCACATCGCTCAGCAGCAACACTGGCGCCCCTCAACCCCCTTTTTGGACCGGCGGGGGATATCCCGGTCCCCGCTGGGGAACCTCACCACCCCGCATCCTCCGAATCTCCTCCTGGGCTGGAGACCGCGTGGCAAGTCCAACATGGCCGCCGAGTCACGGATCCCACACGCCCAGGAAGATGCAGAAATCCTGAGCTGGAGGAAAAGCTTTGAGGCCTGATTTGACCAACAATGCCAGAAGTTCTGTGGGCGCGTCTCCAATAGATCCCTCACCCCCATTACTGAACTGCCGGAATGCCGACCATGCAGTGAGCAAAGGGCCCAAAAGAGGAAGCAGCAACCTAGCCACCTAAGTACCTGCAAGTCGCTCAAGCACCCAAGACCTATGACCACACCAAGCGGCAACAGAGAACCCTTGGAAAAGCGGCGGGAAATGGGGCTATGGCGGGAAGAAAGCAGAGGCGCAGTCTTTCCCTGCAATCTGCAACCCTGGCACACTAACCTGATTGAGAGAGAAAGGGGACAATGAGCACAAAGGGAAGGGAGCCGGCCCAAGGTGACCTATTTGTGGAATTGGCTGAACTAATTTTACGCAGCTACTCAAGAGTCCCTAGTGCAGCTAAGTCTGTTCTTCCCCCATGCTCTTGAATGAGGAAAGTACCCAGTGGCTACTACTAAGCTACATAATTGATGATGATTTAGCATGTTATACTATTATATTTTCTCAACCCAGTGTCAGTCCACTAAGCATGTTTCTACCCTTCCTCTTGCCTACTCATTTATTGACACACCATGATTTATCTTGTTTAATTTTTATAAAAAATGTGCAGTTTGATCACATGCCACAGTATACTGTCTCTTGAAGTGCTTGTCTCTGCTGATGTGGCATAGCAAGCTTGATTGTTACTCTTTTGCACAACAAAATAAAGAATTTTAAAAAAAGGACACTCTAAGCACCAAAACAGAGCAGAGCACAGAGCACAGCACAGTGCACTGAGATAGCAAGCAATTCTACTTAACTGAAAAGGCAGCGTTTACAGTGGTGAAACTGCAGAAATAGGCTATAGACACCAGAACAACTACATTAAGCTGTAGTGGTTCTTGTGACTATAGTGTTTTTTTAATAATGTGATTTTGGTGCAGTTTTTGCACAGTTCCATTATTAAAAGGGACACTCCGGGCTGAAAAGCTTTATGTGTGAAGAGTGTGTCCTATTTTCCATTTTGCAAAAAGTGTAGATTCACTAGAAAATAGCACTTTTATAATCCAGTCTGGACTGGGTTACAATGGCCTTGTCTGCAGCTTTCAAAGGCTGCAGACAAGGGAGCTGCAGATTTTGGAAGCGGTTTTTAGAAATACCCCAATGAAAAGATGCATAATGCATTCAGGTTTTAATTTAGGGTGCATCTATTAAACAGTGATTTTTATTTATTTTGTATTTAGGCAGTGCATGTCCCTTTAATTCTCTGCCGTTTAGGAGTTAAATCCCATTTTTTTATAGAGTCCTAACTAAATCTCCATTGCATGTGACCTATGCAGCCTCGCTACATACTGCCGTGAAAGAGTGATCTAATGTGTAAACTTCCTTTATTGCACAGTGTGTTTAATTTAGAATGTCTTATATCCTGCAGAAGTCTTTTGTGTGAACAGGAGATATGAAGTTCTAAAGTAAACAGACTGTGCTGTGAGATCTGATTGAAAATGAAATAGTTTTTTCATGTTGGCTGTGTGAGTCACTGCTAGCGGAGGTGTGGCTAAGACTATGCTGAAACGTGATTTTTGGTGCCATGTTTATGGCACGATGACTTCTTACCTGGGGTCCATTGGGCACCTCTTCCTGCCTCTTCACAACCAGAGGCTTTTTACATTGAGCTAAGCCTGGCACTGCACAATTTAGCTCCTGGCTATGTTGCAATCAGCTCAGCCGATGAAACTGGCCCTGCACAGGCGGGTTTAGTTCAGGAGAGTTAACAAAAGCTCCTGATAGGAGCTTCTTGTTCTTATGGTAGAACAGGAAAAACATGAGAAGCACACAGCAGACCCCAGGTAAGAAGTCAAACCATGAGCAAATTGTCTGACTGCTTATATTGGTGGGGTGCTATGGTACTCTAGGCACCATAACCACTATATATCACTGTAGTTGTTATGGTGCTTGGAGTGTTTCTTTATAATGTTGCAACTTTTGGAAAATCATTAAAGCAAGTGTAATTAAACTGATAACAAACAACAACATTAACTGATATTAGAACATCATTACTTTAACACATTAAGAAATGTGTTAACAAATTACATTGTTACTTAGTTCATTAGGTTAAATAAACACATAGGGAAAATTAATCGAATAAAGGACCATTTGTTTCTTTGACTTGTAACACTTGATGGGATTTTGTATGTAGCCCAACACACAGACTGACATGAGTGGTGTTTATAGATAATTATTATTATGAACACATTAGATGTAATGAACTAAGTGGTACAGTTGACCCCACAAGGATTTGTATTAATAATTGAGTTCTGAGAATATTCATTACCTAGGACTGTTGAGGCCTGTTATGAGAACCAATGATTTAGGTTCCCCCAAGAATCCTTCATGTAGTGTCTATGGGACTTTGACGTGCTGGGGCAATGTAATGTGATATGGCCCAGTTAGCAAGAGGAAAATATCTCTCCCTGACTGGCTCACTGTAAAATGGCTGTAGAATTGATAGTGTGGTACTTGTGACAGAGCTCCTGTACTCCGACCGAGTACCTCCGCCCAGTCTGCTTCCTAGCTGCTCGCAGGGACCCTGGAACGCTTGACTGGGGTCTCTCTGGAGCTCTTCTACCCGACCAGACTGCAGCTCTCCTTCCAGGCAGGGATCATCCTCTCTGCCTATTCCGCTGCAGCCCTTCTTCCAGGCAGAGATCGTCCCTTTTGCCTATTCCTCGGCAGCTTTCTTTAAAGGAAGATATCATCCCCTCTGTCTTGCGGCCTCAGGGCTAGCTCTCTTGACTTCTCCCAGGGCTAGAGGCTCCTTCAGCCAGTAAACAGGTCCAAAGACTCTGTCACTGGGATCCCTACAAACCCTCACAGGACACATGTTCCAAAAGGAACTGACATACAAAGCTTTATTTTACTTGGGGCTAGCCCATATGTTCATTACATAAAGCTTACTGTGACAACTCAATAAAAATACAAACACTCAAATCACATTAGACAACATACAGGGACTTGTAACATAATTACATATTTATAAAAGGGGTGGGAAAGACAATAATTAACAGAAAACATCTCTCCTGCTTGCAGAGATAGCAATATGCAAATTTTAATCCTTGCTATTCAGGTACAGCGGTTGCTAGATCCTTGCAAACAACAGGTGGCACTGTACAGTTTTCACAGCCCAATCCACCTAGTTGATTGCAAGCATTAGCAATACAAGAGAGCACACTAACATTTAACACTAAACATTTCACTCTTTTAGTTTATACTAATTAGAGCTGTACTGTTGATGCTTATTCCTACCTATTATAAAAAAAACCCTGCAGTTTCCTAGACTTTTACTGATATGACTATGCCCTTATTTGGTTGTTTATACTATTAAGAAAAGTCTACGTACTTTTGCATGTTACGCTATGCACTAGAAAAAAAAAAAGAATAAAAAAAAAGATATTACATACAATGAATACTTAACATATGGAGATTTGTTTGAGTAGGTACAGAAGATGACATCTTTTAAATGAGCTGCATTTGCTGCCTTGATTGAGTTGTTCATGTTTGAGACTCTAGCGCTCAAATTTCTGCACTGATATTCTCCTTGACCTGAGTTGTCTCAGGAGGTCCATTGTGGCCCTCCTGAGACAACTCAGGTCAAGGAGAATATAGGATATAGGATGATTTTCCACTACATTAGATCAAAATATTTTTAATTATATGCCGATATCTCACGCTATTTTAACCTGTGATGAATCTCCCAAGACTCAGTTATAATATGTATCTGCAACAAACCAATTCAACTACTAACAGTTAAGTTATCTATCTGTCAAATCCTACTCTGAATTTTGGCCAACCCAGTATTTAGATAACTCCTGTCTGTCTCTGAAATTGTGAGGAATTTGAAGCTCAGAATACTAGGCAAAGTGATCTACATACAACTGAATTGCTGCAGTTAATCCTTGTCACATTTCCCTATCCTGTTATTATTGGGAAAGTGTTAGAATATATAAAAGAAGTAGACAGATAATGCGGCATTGGAAGGCAGGGCTAGCACAACCATATAGAGGCACCAAACAATTCTACATCTAGGTTTCATCTAAACCTTTGCCTTATTCTTTGCACTATCTGCTATGCAGGCATTGTGCTGTTTGATATGAAATGTATTTAAATATTACTAAATGTTTAACACAAGCTGATACAAGAGAATAACACAAAATGGTGCATTTCTACTCTATAAGAATGCTTTAATTTATAATACTTTCTTTTTAGGATATGCACAATAGTAATATATGTAACAATTAAATGTATAAATGTAAGCCATTGCTGTAAATTTGTTTCTAAAAGCTACATATTACAATAATGTCGAAATATACCTTGCGGGCACAATTGCAGTGCACTGAACACAGAGATATATAAGATGAAATAACATAATTCACTTCTTTATGTTTAAACAATGTTGATTCATTCCACCCACAGCATCGTCGGTGTAATCTATAAATGGCAGGTCTTGTATATTTCGTGAACAGAAGTAAAAGAATGCAGACAAATGGGGGGTAACTGAGATAAAAGAAAGAAACATGGCCCCCTTAGTGCTGAAGAACAAAAAACAAAAAAATAATAAAGTTTTATTTTCTAACATTAATTTTATGACTGCAATTAAGTGGTTTAGAATATAAATGTTAGAAAGGGAGTTTAATTCACCTATATTACATTTTCATAGGCTCCAAGTTTCCCTGATGGAATGCGGCCAATTCTATAATGTATTCAATTTTTCTGACAAGTGAAGTTGGCAATATGTCACTGTTAAGAGAACACTTAGTCCCCCGAATGAAAGCCCTGTTGTATTTAGAATAATAAACAAAGAATTGCCATGTAATGTCTCAACACGGATATCATACAGTTTATTATCTGCATTATATGCATTAGAAGACCACTTTTCTTTACTTATTGTGTCTATGTGAAAAGCTCATCCTTCAGTTTTATTTTACTTGTAAATTATTCATAGATCAGCACACATGAATTGACTTTAAATACAATCGCTGAGACTTTAGAACTCTTATATTAAAAATTTGTAACACTGATCTGGATTATAAGTGTCGAAATATACAAGACCTGCCATTTATAGATTACAAATTTAAGAGTAGATGACATGGTCTTCAGAGTCTTTACCCCATTAAAACCATCTAAAGGATCTTATGTTGTTCACAACTCATTTGGTAAATTGTGCCCATTCTCTTGTACTGACTGGTCAGCTTTAATCAGGCAACTATAGGACTGGAGTGTTAAAGAACCAGGTGCTTATTTAATCACATCATAGAGAAGAAGACCACTACATGTGCAGCAGCCCTAAATACTGAAGGTGTTTGCAGAAATAAATGGTGATCCAACTACAGACATTAAATGTAAATATGACTGCATTGGATTACATTGGTTAAATGTAGACACGTGCAATTCATTTAGTTACAAATGTTAATTCGGATGAATTTCAAGCAATTCGTACATCCGGATACTTCCGAATGTGCGAATAGCTGAATTGCCAAATTGGCGAATTTTGCAAGTGCCGAACCGAACCACCGAAGTCCCGAAGCGCCAAATGTCCGAAGCGTCGAATTTCGGAATGCCGAACCGAACCGAAGTGCCGAAGCATAGAATTGCCGAAGGACTAATATACCCAGTGGAAGAATGAAGAATGTTACACTGTATACCAGTTTAAATAAAAAGTATGCACACATAGCCATGATTCAGTTGTAAGCATTTGCAACACTTACAACAATCAAGTAACACGTTCATATAAAATGTAAGTTACTTAGCCAGTCAATGGATGGGAATGAGTAAGTGGATAACTCCCTAATTACCACGGTATTAGGGAGCTATCTACCAAATACTAAGTAAAAATTACTTAGTATTAGTAAATTCTGCCACGAGTAGGGGAATGTCTAGTAAACAGTGAGCAGCCTAAAAACAAAACAAAAAAACTCCCCAAGTGTCCCTCCTCCTGAGCCCCCACCCGTGCCGTGGGAGTGGGGGCTTTTAAACTGAAGGGGGGTCCTATTACCCCACCAGCCCCCACCCCTGAGTGGCTGGTGGGGACCCTGGATGACAATGGGGGAACCTATCATGTCCCCCCTGGTCCCCACCCCTGAGCGGCGAGTGGGGTCCATAAAGTAGAATAAGGGGGTGTGACCTATTGTCCTCCCCCCCCCCTGGCCCTCACCCCTGAGTGGTGGGTGGGGGCCCTAAATCAGAATAAGGGGGAACCTATTGTCCTCCCCCCGGCCCCCAACCCTGAGCGGTGGGTGAGGGCCCTCAAGTAGAATAAGGGGGGGGGAACTATTATCCTCCCTCTGCTCCCACCCCAGAGCGGCGGGTGGGGGCCCTTCCCCCCAGTGCCCACCCCTTAGTGGTGGGTGGGGGCCCTAAATCAGAATGAGGGGGGCTATTGTCCTCTCCCCCGACCCCCACCCCTGAGCGGCGGGTGGGGGTCCTGAAGTTGAATAAGGAGGGGACCTATTGTACTCCCCCCGGTCCCCACCCCTGAGCAGCAGGTGGGGTCCCTAAAGTAGAATAAGAGGGGGGGAACCTATTGTCCTCATCCTAAAAATAGTGAGGGGGAACAATAACCTGTAAAACAAAGAAATAAAACTTACCATTTGATGTCTTCTTTTTTCTAAAATCTTCTTTTTTCAGCCTCCCAAAAATAATATAATATATTATATAATATATAACATAATAAAAAACCCTAATACCCGTCGCACTTTAAAAAAAACAACAACAAAAACAGAGCGCAAAATAAAAAAATCAGACGAAAAAAATAATCCCGATGCTGAAAAAGTAATACATCTTCACCCATGGAGGGCACCGCGCAGACTAAGCTCCACAGGGCGGGGGAAGGCTTATAAAGCCTTGCCCTGCCCTGCAATTAGGCTCAGAGCACTCTGATTGGTTGGTTTAAGCCAACTAATCAGAGTGCTCTGACAGGTAAATGAAGAGACTGACAGGTAAGTTTCTACATTTACCTTTCACAGCTTGAAATCCAGCTGAGTGATGGGTGGGGGCCCTAAATTAGTTACTCATAACAACACTCTGATTGGTTGATTGAAAGCAACTAATCAGAGTGCTCTGAGTCATTTTACACAGCATGGGAAAGTTCATTGGAATTTTCCCATGCTGTGTAATTTGACTCATAACCCTCTGATTAGTTGCTTTCAATCAACCAATCAGAGTGTTGTTATGAGTAACTAATTTAGGGCCCCCACCCGTCACTCAGGGGTGGGGGCCGGGGGGAGGACAATAGGTTTCCCCCCTATTCTAATTTAGAGCCGCAGCCGCCACTCAGGGGTGGGGGCTGGGGGGAAGACAACAGGTCCCCCTAATTCTAATTTATGGCCCCTGCCCACTGCTTAGGGGTGGGGGCCGGAAAATAGGTCCCCTCCTTATTCTAATTTAGGGCCCCCACCTGCTGCTCAGGGGTGGGGGCCTGGGGGAGGAAAATAGGTCCCCTCCTTATTCTAATTTAGGGCCCCCACCTGCTGCTCGGGGGTGGGGGCCGGGGGGAGGAAAATAGGTCCCCCCTTATTCTAATTTAGGGCCCCAACCTGCCACTCAGGGGTGGGGGCCGGGGGGAGGACAATAGGTCTCCCCCCTTATTCTAATTTAGGGCCCCACCTGCCGCTCAGGGCTGGCTGTCGGGGAGAGGACAATAGGTCCCCCTTATTCTAATTTAGGGCCCCTGCCCACCGCTCAGGGGTGGGGGCCGGGGGGAGGACAATAGGCCCCCCCATATTGGTATTTAGGGCCCCCATCCGCCGCTTAGGGATGGGGGCCGAGGGGAAAATAGGTCCCCTTTTATTCTAATTTAGGGCCCCCACCTGCCGCTCAGGGGTGGGGCCCGGGAGGAGGACAATAGGTATCCCCCTTAGACTAATTTAGGGCCCCCACCTGCCGCTCAGGGCTAGGGGCTGGGGGGAGGACAATAGGTCTCCCCCATATTGTTATTTAGGGCCCCCACCCGCCACTCAGGGTTGGGGGCCGTGGGGAGGACAATAGGTCCCCCTTATTCTAATTTAGGGCCCCCACCCACAGCTCAGGGGTAGGGGATGGGGGGAGGACAATAGGTCCCCCCCTCATATTGGTATTTTGGGCTTCCACCCACTGCTCAGGGGTGGGGGCCAGGGGGAGGACAATAGGTCCCCCCTTATTCTAATTTAGGGCCCCCACCCACCACTCAGGGGTGAGGGCCGGGGTGAGGACAATAGAGTGTTCATTATTTACTAGACATGCCCCTACTTAGTATTAGTAACTGAGTACATTTGACTGAAAGACTAATTTACCATATTTACCATGGGAATTAGGGAGTTATCTACTAAGAGGCTGCAAGAGACCATATCAGAAGTGCCGAAGTTCTGAAGTGTCGAAGTGCTGAAGTTCCGAAGTCCCGAACTGAACCGAAGTGCCGAAGTTCGGAAGTGCCAACGTCCCGAATTTCGGAAGTGCCGAACCGAACCAAAGTGCCGAAGTCCCGAATTTCGGAATGCCGAACCGAAGTGCCGAAGTCTCGAAGTGCTGAAGTCCCCAATTTCGGAATGCCGAACCGAATATTTTGCTCATGTACCTAGTTAAATGTTCAAAGGAAAAATGGCTTTATATTATATCAAGAATGTTGT